CCCCGGGCCTTAGGTTGCCTACCCCTGGTCTAAACAATGCATTTGGTTGCAAAACTATCAAGTGAAGGAAGCTAGAGAAAAGGGGTGCAATCAAATCTGATCAATGTCCCATTAAGTGTGAGACTAAGACAAACAAACACCATTTCCAGTATAATGGGATATTCCCAAGGGTAACTCCCAAAACCTGCCTGTCCAGGAAATCTTTAGTGGTCTTGAGCAATTTCAGCTTGCTTACCTGACGTTACATTTAGGGAATTATGGCTGCCATCTCCCAAGGGTCAGGCTGGGGTCATAGGGAACTCCACATGGCTAAAATATATATGAAAAATGGAGCATATTTACTAACACTGTGTGTTGATGGATCATTCAACAATTGGCTGATTGTGTCTACTCTGGGTAGGACGAACCAGAAAAATTCATGCTCCAGTTTTGTCTTGTTTAAAAACATATTTTTGCTCCATCCTCAATATAGCATCCTTTCCAATATTTAAGCATGGCTATATTACCCCTTAACCTTCTCCACACCAAGCTAAACGTACCTAGCTCCCTATGCTGCTCCTCATAGGGCTTAGGGATTTCCAGACCTTTCCACCATTTTGGTTGCCCTCCTTTGGACACGCTCCAGGCTTATGATCTTGAGTCCCAACTAAAGTAGGCCATAATACATAACGGAAGATTCTCGGTGTGCAGTTAATTGGTGATGGCCTTCAGATGACCGGAGCCTTCTGCTAAATCTTAGGGTCATAAGAGAACAGTGGCTTTTCTTCTTGTTCTGTCTGTGCAAAGACCATTATCCTACCATTATTGGTTGTGTGCGTGTTTACACAACCATAACCAGAGAGAGAGAAAGAGAGAAAGGCATGGACATGGACATGGAGCACACAGGGATCTTAACCTGGGTCTTTCCCCCCATCAAACGCATCTCATGTTTGACCAAAATTACTAAGCTAAGGTTGTCGTACTTTAGACATATCACAAGCTGACATGACTCTTTGTAGAAGATGATAAGGCTGGGGAAAATGGAGGTCAGAAAAGAGGAAGACTGCATTACAGGAGCACCTTTATTGGGCCAACCAAAATGCACAAAATACATATTGCAAGCTTTGAAGCTCCACTTCTTCATCAGGCAAAAGTGTTAAAAATCATACAGGAGGGAAAAAATATATGATGATGTTAGTCACAGGCCTGCATTTTGTCAAGATGTTGTTGGTGTTGTTCTGAGTTAAGTTAGTATGGAGGGATTTCCATGCAGGCTGATGCCATCTTAACTCAGAACACCACCAACAACATCTTGACAAAATGCAGGCCTGTGACTAACACTGTCATATTTTTTTTCTCCTGTATGAATTTTTACCCCTTTGTCAGTGGAGCTTTGAAAGCTTGCATCATGTATTTATGCATTTTGGTTGGCCAATAAAGGCGTCACTGTTTTGTGGATTTTGGAAGTTATTGTAGTTTGCTGTAAGACCAACACAGCCACCCTTGGATATGTTTCCAGCATTACAGTGTAGTTGATTCGATCAGTTTGCAAGACCTGTGCAGGGCAGTCGGTGGAGCACTGGGTTTTTAGGGATTCTCTTATTCATAGGTTCACCATAACTTGACACTGACTTGATGGCACGTAACAACAACCACCTAAAGTGTTTGTGGTTTTGCAAAGTTCTCCTTAATCTATGCACCCATCTTATTAGATGGTTTTCCCCCTTCGCCATGAACATACTACACGGTATTTCGCCATCTCTTCCTTTGGGGAAGGGAGTGGACGGTTTCAGTGTTTATACCTCATCTGGGGCTGCGTTGGGCTGTTGTTGCCTTGAGCAGTTGTGCTCCCTGTCTCTCAAGAAATCTTTGTTGATCAGAATCCTCAAAATGCAATTTGAAAAGAAAAGACAATGAAGGAGGCACCTTAAAAACTAACACCTTTTATTTTTGACATAAACTTTATGGTCTGCATCCCACTTTTGTAGATGCACAGACTGGATGCATGAATAATATGGGTTAGTTTTTGAGGAGCCACAAGGTTCTGTGATTTTGCAAAAATGGGCTAATACAAATTAGTCTTTTCTGCCTGCCTACCTTCTCTTTCTTTCTTTCTTTCTTTCTTTTTTTCTTTTTTTGAATGTGGTGATTGTTTCTTTTCCTATCCTTTTCTTTCCTTTAAAGTACTTCTGTGGCAGCCATCTTGAGCAACAATGTCTCTGCTGAATTTGCTCAAATTATAGGGTTTGATATTCTCTCTTTTTAAATTCTTGGTTGTGCTGTGTGCGATGTGTGTGTGTGTGTGTGTGTATAATCTCCAAGTACCCATCCCAGGTGACTCCACCCTCCTGGAATGTGCACATCAGACGTCTCTCTTCTATAAAGGATCCAGCTTTCCCTCTCAACAAGAAGCTAGAGAATTAACCCTTCATCTTCTCGTGTGCACTTTGAGTCTCCCTTTATCCAAAATGCTTGGGACCAGAAGTGGATTTGGATTTGGGATTTTTCCAGATTTTGGAATATTTGTGTTGTTGTGCTATGCCTTCAAGTCAAGATGGAATACCCCCTCTTGCAAACAAGAGTTAGCATACAATTAAAGTTGCATGTTCAGATGGGCAGGAGTGTTTCTAGGGGATGCAGGAGGTGCAGACAACACTGGGTGACACACCTCAGAGTGTGTCTGTCTTTTGGTATGGAGTGTACCACTGCCCTTCTCTGCAGGTAGACCAGGATTCCCATAGACTGAAGGTCCTGGGGATGCCCCAATCCCATCTGTGGTAAGGAGGCCAGCCGGGACACCATGTTGGCACACATGGCAAACTCCTGGAGGCCTCTCCATTTGCCGAATATCGCCTGGATCTATTTGGGACTTGCAAACAAGACAGGTAGACCAGAACAACCCAAAAGACACAGTCCCTTAGAGTGCCCTGGTCCACCAGCCATCAACATCAAGCAGACCCAGAGCCTTTCTCTTCCACTGCAGCCCAATCTACTGTGTGGGACCATTGGTTTGGCTGTAGGGGTGGGTTGGTGGTGGTGCCAGGCAGGCTGGGAGTGACAGCATGAGTTATTGCATTGGGGTGGCACCAAACCTACTGATACCATTGCTGATGGGTTCATAAAGGGGGAAATAGTGCCACACTGTGTGGGATGCACTTGAGAGTCAGTTCATGCACTGAACAGCAATGGTTCGAATCTGCTTTGGAATCACATGAGAAGCCCAGCAGTTTGAAGTAGGGAACATGATGTTCAGTTTAGCCAGTTGTGAGAGGTGATGATTAATTCATGAGACAGTGATTCAAACCTGCATCGTGGGATGTCCTGAGCCACTGTGAGAAGCAGAAATAGCTGTAAAAATATAGTAGAGAAGGACTTGCCCATCCACACCATTATTTCTTGGTGGTGATGACTTGATAAATCATGTTTTGCTTTTGAACTTTCCACACTTTCCAGATCTGGTCAAGCACTACTGTGTTTGCATTCTGTGTGGGTATGTTATAAAAAGTCTGATGCAGAAACTGGGCTCAGATATCAACCTGCTGGTATGCTTCTCGGCCTCAGTGGTGCAAAGGCTATGGCTGGAGAAATTGTGGAAGGCCAAGCTAGGAGACTAGGAGAGCAGCCGCAGGTCAAGAGCAGTGTTGTGCACTCAGCATAGACTCTCACTGATTGCAATAGCTAGCAAAATACAGTAGCATTAGCTAGTTGTGTGCACAACTCCTTATTCTATACAGAATGGAGAAGCTGATATTCCTTAAAAACAGAGGTGGGCAACCACATGGGGGTCATGGATTAATTCCTCCCCAG